CTCCAAACAGTGATTTTATTGAGCGATAAAATGACAGTTTGGGATATATTATCTTATTTATCTACACATAAACACCTTTTATTTAAGAAATAATATATCCCAAACTGTGATTTTATTGCTCAATGACATCACTGTATGGAGTACGGATGCGGGGAATTATATATAATGATCAGCATCCGAATTACAAGCAATAAAATCACCGATTTGGATATATTATTTCGATTCTAACACGACATCAACAAATAGATGCTGCCGTACATGGTAATTAGCTAAATTGCGCCTGATTTTTTTCCGTACTTATTGTCAGCGCGTCACATCTTTAGTGGTTACGTCAGGTGTATAATGATTACGTCACATGTCTACATATAGAACGTCAAACAGTGATTTCACGGTGTATATCCATATCGGTACCCTCTTTGCGAAATCTGCTGAAACGGCACCCTCTTTGCACATGCACAGGCCACTCTCTGCTAAAAACAAACCAGCGATGGATAACAATACAGTAAAATTTCAATATAATAAGGAAAGAAGGTATGACACGTAGAAAAGATGTATACCACGGAACACTAGAATGTTTTATATATGTGCTGATTTGTCATGTGCCCGTTTTTCATGTACCACAACTTCACAATAAGCTACAAAAAATCAACATGTCTTGCTTCGCCCATCACCTCGACATACTTTTCGGGCTGAAATGAACCTGTGGCTTGATTATATATGCATCATACATATTTAGTATGTTCATTTACATATCATCTTCGGACAAATGGCAGTATATTGTCAAAAATAATTGTAAACTTCATAAAAACACCCTACTTTCGGTTTTGCAGCAGCACGGGCTACCTCTCTTCATTTGAATTTTTATATCACAGGCACCCTCTCATTTTTTTACTCATAGGTACCCTCAAGGCACGACATATGCTTTTACTTGCGTGAATCGTAAGGTATGTAATATTTCTTACTTTTATGTAAATATTACATACTTAACGATTAACGATTAAGTGTTACGTGGTATACATCTTTTTCACGTGTCATACATCCTTTCCATATTACAATGAATTTTTACTGGCTTGTTATCCATCGCTGGTTTGTTTTGAGCAGAGAATGACCTGTGCATGTACAAAGAGGGTACCGTTTCAGCAGATTTCGCAAGAGGGTACCGATATGGATATGCACCGTGGATTTTATTGCCTAATAACACACACTTTCGGTTTTTCTATGTTCAATAGGGAAAAATGTGGGTCGTGTTAGAATATAATGTAATACTTTTGTCTATACATATGTATATGTATCTAAACTTACTGTTTACAATATGTTGTCAAAGAAAAATTTGTTCACATATCTAGTCAGACATTGTCTTGTAACGTAAATAAATTGTAGTACAATATTAATTTATACAATTTGTCTTTGACAAAACATGAAAATATTCCAATAGTAATACAATCAGTCATGTAAGTTATAAAAGTAATTCATGTAAGTTTAAAACCAAATTAAGAATTGAGTAATAATTGTATAATTTCTTTAAGTTATTTTAATATTTAGTAATTTAAAAAGCATCGAAACACGAGGCTGTCGGATTTGTATGAGAGTATAAATCAGATTGCCGATTGTTTTGATGTTGTTTCTCTTTTGTATCTTAGGCAAAAAAAAAACAACAACACATTCCCAGTCATCCAAGAAAAAAGTACCAAATGTATAAGCATCTGAATATGATTTTTCTACTGTTATCTCCTTCCCGGTCGTCACAATATGTAAAAACCAGAAAAAATGAACCAGTTTAGAAGCAAGCTCCAGTGAGTTAAAGCACTGTGCATGTATTGGTATGCAATTAAACTCTGACATGTTTTCAAAAGTCTCCAAACTATGATACAATTATAATATATTGTATGACAATAATTATTTATAATAAATTTATTTTGAATTCCGGTAATTTCATTTTCGTAAAACCAAAATAAGTCCATTACTTTTACTTGCTATTTTGCTAAAAATGCAACATTATACCAATGACAATTTTTATGTTGAAAAAAATCACTAAAACAGTACTGTTAGTCAAATAAAGCAATGTACTATGATATTGTTTCTTTAACAAGCATTGGAATTGATTTATGTTTGAAATATGTGTAAGTTATTCAAATTCTTGTATGAAAGCTTACCAATTTATAATGTAAATAACAAGGAATCAGAAGCTGAGACTGTTTTATAAACTTGTCAGTTAGTTTGAAAGAAATAATCCACTAAATATTTCACAGAATATGATATAAGATATTGAGATACAACTGTTTTGCACTAGGATTTATTCAAAATATTATCAAAATGTTGGTGCGAAACGGTTGTAACTTAAGTTACAATCGTTTCGCACCAACAAAATATGTCTGTTTGAGTTACAACTTTCGGACATATATACTTTTTTGGTAGTTTTATTTTAGCTTTCAGTTCAATATTTTTACAACATGTGTGTATATTGCTCCTACATTGAAAAATACCATAAAACCATTTTCGGTGAAATTATGAGTTACAACCCTATGTAAAAATATTTTCACTGTGACACCGTATGTATAGTGTTAGACAGTTATTTAACGATTTCGCAAAGATTTTGATCCGGCATATGTTTAAAAGTGTAGACAAATTGAGTGTTTTGAACATATTTTATCTGGTAAGGATGTAATTGTAAATCTGCCAGTTGGATATGGGATCCTTGGCGTTCTGAAACTGGCTATGTTTTTGTCACATGGTACAACTATCGTCACTTGGGTTTCAGTGGTTGCGGTGGTTAAAGTAGCAAAGCGTGACGTAACCGCTGTGAGGAGTTTCAGTCAAACCTGGCCCGGCTTTCACGAACGTTCTCAAACTGAGATAAATCTCAACTTAAGACTATCTCCAATCTGACTGAGACTCTTACTCACCTGAGAAAAATCTCAAGTTGGCTTTCACTAAACTTTTTCTCAACATCTGAGAATTTTCTCAACTGAGACTGCTTTTTTCTCAAGACATAAGCGGCTATCCTTATCTTAGTGTGCATTGTTGATGGGCTTCTAAGACTTATCTATGGAGTTTTTTTTTGTTACAACGTATACAGTTGCTATTTAATGTAAAATGACGCAACAGGGATTTTTTTTGTATTATTATCACGTAAATGATAAGAGATATATATTTCTTGTTTTATTTTAAAAAAACAACAACAAAAAAAAACCAAGAAGCAAATGTGTGAATATTTGAATGCTAATGAACATAATTTATCAAGAATGAATGTAGATCTTCATAATTTTTGCAAACAGTATTTTAAATGAAAACGAAACAAAATTCAATAAATTATATTTAGTATGTTTAGTGAGACGTCATAATTTCATGACGTCATTAATGAGAGCGCATGACGTCACCCACAATAATCAGTCAATACATTACTTAATATATGAAATTAATAGGAACTTTATTTGCCTAAAAAGGTCAAATTATGTTTATTTATAAAAATAACCATGCAGAAAGTAAAAATACCCATGATAATAATAATTTAGCTTCACTGAGACATAATCTGAGACAGCCAAACCTTGTCTCAATATATCTGAGAAAAATCTCAAATCTTCAGTTGAGATTTTTCTTAATATTTTTTAGTGATTGCCAAACTGAGAAAAATCTCAATTTCTGAGTTGAGAAAAATCTCAGATTTCAGCTGAGATTTTGACTTTGAGAACGTTAGTGAAAGCCGTGGCTTGGTCTCAAAATATCTGAGAAAAATCTCAGACATATAGTTTAGATTGTTCTCAATATTTTTTAGTTCAAGCCAACATGAGACAAATCTCAATTTCTGAGTTGAGAAAAATCTCAGATTTCAGCTGAGATTTTGACTTTGAGAAAGTTAGTGAAAGCCGGGCCTGGTTTATACACACGACACGGCTTCATATAGATGTGGACATTTGTAGGAAGTTTCATTAGAATCCCTCCGTACGTGTAGGAGATATGCTCTGAACAAAATCTCTATAATTATTTTATCATCTTTAGTGACTTTGACAATCATCTTTAGTGACCTTGACCTTGCATATATTAACCTAAATTCCATGTTTCACACCAGCAGTCATGACAATGACCATTTGCATTTCAAATCCCTCATTAAAAATGATGACTAAATGGTCCAAATACACATTTTCATATTTTATCTGAAATTTGACCCCGATATGTGACATTGACCTTGGCCACAGGAACCTAAATTTTGCATGCGACACTCCGACTTGCAATAGTGAACATTTGTGAAAAGTAATATTGAAATCCCTTTATGCACGTAGAAGTTTTGCTCTAAAAAAAGCGATTTTCAATTACCTCTAAGTTTGTCCTTGATTTTTGACCTAGACATTTGTCTTATGCACGAGACACGGTACTTATAGTAGTTAACATTTGTATGAAGTTTCATTAGAATCCCGCGGTATGTGTAGAAGATATGCTCTGGACATAATCTCTATATTTTATTATCTTTAGTGACATTGACAATCATCTTAAGTGACCTTGGCCTTTCAAATACTAACCTAAATTACATGTTTTGCATCAGTTGTCATAAAAATGACCATTTGTGTTTCAATCCCGCAATAAATAATGACTAAATGGTCCCATTACACTTTTTCATATTTTTTCATAGTTTTGACGCCTGTGTGTGACCTTGACCTTGGCCGCAGGAACCAAAATTTGCAAGGCGACACTCCGTCTAACAATAGTGAATATTTGTGCCAAGTTATATTGAAATCCCTCTATGCATGTAGAAGTTTTGCTCCGGACAAGCGTTTTTCTACGACCTCTAAGTGTGACATTGACCTAGAGATCTAGTTCATGCACGAGACACGGCTTTTTATAGTGGTGAACATTTGTAATGAAGTTTCATTTTGATTTCCTTATGGGTGAAGGAGATATGCTCCGAACAAAAATCGGATGTCCCCCAGCCGCCCTCCGGGGGGGACTATAATACGATCCGTTTTTCACGCGTATGCGGGCGTATAAAAATAAATAAATAAAATTACCATTTGTAAAGTGCAAAGTCAATCACGAAGAAAATTTCGATCTCGTAGTCGGTCGTCTGTCGCTTTTCTCTGGTATTTATTGTCTGCTCTGAGCGATTCTGCATCTTTCCTTCAGTTATTTTAGCGTCTGAACAAAATGGATTGATTAAATTATAAGGTGTCTGAACAGGATCACTATCCGTAAACAAGTTATAACCATAAATATACTATTATGTGACCATATACCATTATATAACTATATATCATTACATTTGCGTATTTACAGAATAGCAATATCAGGTCAAAATTGGGATTCAAAGAAGATCTTCATCACTATTGAAATAAAATATTGATAACGATTTTATTTTAGAAGACAAAGGGAATCAGCATATGTATTTAGTTTAACAGCATAAAATTTTATCACTTGAAAAACCTGTGTCCGTTAATTCATATCTTGTTTTAAGTCTTTAATCAGAAAAAAAGTTAATTGCATTGAAGGTAAAGAAATATTAAATGATGGGACACAGCAAACGAGCTACGCCTAAATTTACAATCGTAAAAATGCCAGATAAGTAAAAGCATATTAACACAGCAACCGTTGAATAAAAAATAAAACTTGATCAATATTGGAACTTTATCCGAGTCATTTATTTGCATGTGAATAAATCCACTAAAGACTGAGTTATACAACTAAAACCTTACCTGTGTCTGACAATTTAATATAATCAAACGATTTTGTCAGCTTTTCTTCCATCAGCGATACTGTGTAAGTACTTCGGTTATCCCTCGGTGGTTGTACCAAATATTCATGTTGTTTGGATACGAACGTTCCGTACTAGAAAAACACCAATCGCTATTATATAACAGATATTTTGAATATATCATAACAACTAAACACAACGAATACAACATTTAATGCTTCTTGCACTTTTCATCCTCTTAATACGGGTACTCTCCTTTTTGGTAATGTTGCTTATTCCGAAGAAGGCAATTCATTAATATTTTTAGAAGTTCATAGTTACATTGAGCATACGGAACGTTTTTGTTGAAATTTGTTCAATGCTTTTGATTTTTGCGCTTCAAAATCAAATGCAATTGCAAAATTTTTGTGGGATTATTCAATAAAATTTCTATGTAATCTATAGTATAATGTTTTCTTGATTGTTTCAGGGACGAACCGAATTGCTAATGTTATATGAATTTATGATCCCAACCTTTTTCTTTCAAAAATATATTTTTATATTTTTTTCTATTAATTTACATTGTACATCTCTTGTTATAAAATGAAAGGAATAGATATGTATAAGGTAAAATAACCAGCAATGGTCACCTTCTTATAATAAATAATAAAGCTTGTATCGTCTTCGTAGCAAAAACATTTTTTTTTGTTATTTTTGCTTTTAAAAGTTTGAATGATGCTAAGACTTTGTTTTTAAAACTGACAAATCAATATATAAATGAAATTTGTATAATATTGAATAGGACTGTGGTGGTTTGTTGTGGACGACTTTTGTTTGCCACAATTAAACAAATTAATCATTATGAAAATTCCGTAACCTGTAAAGAAAATATCTTAAAGAAAAAAAAAATACAAAAAACACAGTAACGTAACAGTTTGAAGTGTTCAACGTGTATATGTTCGTGGGAAGACTCAATCTAATTTTAATAACGCTGAAAAGCCAACAAAGCAAGCAGTTAAATCCAAAATATTAATGAAAACACCATATGTACTCCTTTATGGTCTGTAACACCGAACTTTGGGGTCAAACGCACTATGGGATCCGACCCCAAAGTGCGGTAAACTACACAGCGCACTTTGGGGCTCAAACGTACTTTGGGTTTCAGAGTTTTGAGGGTGTCAACGGAGTTCTGCTTAAATACTGAGTACTGACTTATTTTCGATCTGCGACATTGAAATACTTGAGGCGGAGTTCGAGATGACGGTCGGTACTAATATATACATCAATATTTGTGAGTGTCATTTCATTAAATGCTGATGTAACAGTAATAACAAGAGCACGGCTAGGCGGAGCATCATATGCCCGAAAGTGACTTTTTTAGAAAAAAAAATGAAGCATTTGTAAGACATGGTAATTAAACAATTTTATTACGACGGATGGACAGAATGAAGCCTTGGATATAACATAATATAAGAAAATGTTAAGGGCATATAATTAATGTTCTTATATATATGTGATCATCCTATGAAGTTTGACAGTTCTAAGACTTTTAACAATATTAAGGTCATTTGACATTGACCTTGTGACCCTAATATAAATATGGATCTTTTATTCAATACAGGCAATCATCCACTGTAAGCCAAATGGAAGCTGTGTTAGGCTTCGGAAAACACAAATTTCAGTGTTAAGGTCATTGCGACCCTGACCTTTGATCTTATAAACTTAAAATCAATAGGGGTCATGTATTGGACATGGCTGTTCATCCTATAAAAGCTGTATTTTACAGCTGTAGGTTGATTAATATTTAAGTTTTTAAGCAAAAACCGTTTTCAGTTTAAAGGTAATAGTAACCTTGACCTTTGACCTGTTGACCAAAACATCAATAGGGGCTTCTACCCAATATGAACAATCATCCTTAGAAGTTTGAATATTGTTGGCCAAATTGAACTTAAGTTATGCTCTGGAAACTGTTATTAGTTTTAAGGTAAACGTGACCTTTACATTTGATCTTTTGACCCCAAAATAGAGATCTTCTACCCAATATGGACAATCATCCTATGAAGTTTGGATATTGTGAGCCGAATGGAACTTAAGTTATGCTCCGGAAACCAAATTGCCAACAGGCGGACCGACGGATGTGTCAACATTTGGGGTTTATGTGCTTTTCTTGGATCTTTATGTGGCATTTTCCCCCATAAACCAGTAAAATTATCACATTAACCAGTCGGTTTACAGGATTTCCTTCTTTTTTTAACTAAAATAATGGACGGAATGAAGCTCATAGACCATTGGTTGTTCGCCCGAACAGACATACAGACGGACGGAAGGACGTCAGGGGTATAACATAATATACCTGAAATTCTTTCGGGCATATAAAAATGTGTATGATGCTTAATTGGTAAGTGTTTTAAGTGTATTATTTATTTTACCACTTGAAATATCTAAAAGTTGCAACTATAATTTTATAACAAACTACTATATTACTTAAATTGCAAATGTATTTCTACAAATTAGAAAAAGATATCATGTTTTTTTCGGCAATTTACTGTCATATTGAACCTAATATTTAATACACGTTTGTGGGTGTAATAAAATGCAAACTAGAACTGCCACTGTCATGGCGTGAATACCTTCTCATACCACTTTGACAGAAATAACAGCGGCCATTTAAAGCTCAAGAATAAACTCCCTATCAAATTTGAGGTTACTAAGCCAGTTATGTAGAATACATGCTTCAAAGGTGAAAATCAATACACTGCGGACAGGCATTCTTAAGCATTTGAGCAGACAAGCTTATTATTGTCAAATCCCTGTGACCTTGACCTATAACACAGCCAGTTTAAATTCAAAAGGGGTCATCTACTAGTCATAAACAACCTAAATACCAAACATGTCTTCAACACTGTTGACCGAAGAATTATAAAGCAATTGAGCGGACAGGCTTTTTAAGTAAAGGGCCCTGTGACTTTTGATCCAGTGACTTCAAAATCAATGGGGGTCACCATATGGTCATGATCAACCTCCATGCCAAATATGAAGACTGTTCATTAAAAGTTTCTTAAATGATTGGGCAGACAAACTTTTTGAAGTCAAAAACCCTGTGACCTTGACCTTTGACCTGGTGACCTCAAAATCAATAGGGGTCACCTACTAATCATGACTAACCTCTATGCCAAATATAAAGACTTCTGGTCAATGAAATTTTAAGTTATTGGGCGACAAGTTTTTTTTTAGTCAATGCCCCTGTGATCTTTACCTTTATACCTAGTGACCTCAAAATCAAAAGGGGTAACCTATTAATCATGGCTTACCTCCATGCCAAATATGAAGACTGTGGGTCAAAGCAATCTTATGTTATTAGGCAGACAAGCTTTTTGAAGTCAAGACCCCTGTGACCTTGACCTTTGACCCGGTGCCCTCAAAATCAATAGGGGTCATCTTTTCATCATGACTAACCTTCATGTCAAACATGAAGACTGTGGTTCAAAGGAATCTTAAGTTATTGGGTGGACAAGATTTTTTCAATCCAGGCCCCTGACCTTGCCTTCGACCCAGATACCTCAACATCAATAGGGGTCATCTAATCAATTATGACTAACCTCAATGGCAAATTTGAAGACTGTTGTTCAAAGGAATCTTCTGTTATTGGGCGGAAAAGCTTTTTGAAGTCAAGGCCCCTGTGACCTTGACCTTTGACCAAGTGACCTCAAAATCAATAGGGGGTCATCTATTCATCATGCCAAACCTCCGTGCCAAATATACAGACTGTGGGTCAAAGGAATCTTAAGTTATTGGGCGGACAAGGTTTTTGAAGTCAAGACCCCTGTGACCTTTGACCCAGTGACCTCAAAATCAATAGGGGTCATCTTTTCATCATGATTAACCTCTATGCCAAACATGGAGACTGTGGGTCAAAGGAATCTTAAGTGATTTGATGGACAAGCTTTTTGAAGTCAAGGCCCCTTTGACCTTGACCTTTGTTTGACCCAGTGACCTCAAAATCAATAAGGGTAATCTACTCATCATGACTAACCTCCATGCTAAATATACAGACTGTGGGTCAAAGGAATCTTAAGTTATTGGGCGGACAAGGAAAAACTGGCGACGAGGAGGCGAGGAGACGGCCGGACGTCCAGACGGACAAGCTGATTCCAGTATACCCCCCTTACAACTTCGTTGTGCGGGGGTATTATAATTTCATCTCAGTGCATTTTAATTTCTGAATGACTTGTAACAAGTAACATTTTAATTTCTGAATGACTTGTAACAAGTAAGTTAGAAATAGAATTTAATATCATAAAATGAATAAAATTACGTGACGGTTACACCAAGCTTTTTTCATATCTGTTAATGCCATAGAGTAAATTTTGGTTTTCATCCCGTAAATCTTCATGATTTTTACGTTTGTCAGACCTGTAATGTTATTTTATGAAAATAACCACTACTATAAGTAAATTTTAACTTTTCTTAAATATACTTTTATACTTCTGCAACGACTTATTTTTAATTTGTGGCCATTTTGGACGCTGTCCTTAGACTGAAAATAAATTTGAAAGGACTAATGTTTTATGTAAAAAATGTAAACGTAAATTAAAAGCACGGGACAGTTTATATTATTAGCCCTCATTTTTTTCGTAATGTAATTTCCCATAGGCCTCTGGGGGTTATTTTTACTGTTAATGCAAATGTACCACGTGACTAAGAATTTGTACTGCTACATAGGTAACAGTAGTTTTCAACGGAAGTAATTGCAATGTAAATAATTATGTGTCAAACTGGAGCATGTAGACGATTTAAGCATGCAACAAAGGATTATTTAACAATTTTAATCAGTGAAACGTTACAGATATGGTCGACAGACATAGGATAACATCGTTATTTTGTCAAAAACCATGCTTTGAATATTCTGGAAACAGAAGGATCAGATTTCACAGATCATAAACGTGTAAATGGTGTTTTGTTTTCTAAATATAAAAGAAAAGAAAAATTCTCAAGAGAACCTAAAGTACACTTAAAATGTAAAAGGTAATGACAGTTTAGTAATTGTTACTCTTGGTTTATTTTTGTTACAGTTAGATTAAGTTGACAATATCAGATCATCACAGTATTTTGTTCGGGGTAATAAAATAAATAACACATGGGTTTGTGAGTAACA